GTAGCTGGGACTACAGGCACCTGCCACAATGCCTGGCTATTTTTTGGTTGCATTGTTCTTTGGCGGGCTGGGGCCAGATTCAAACCCGCCAGCTCAGGTGTATGTGGCTGGCACCTTAGCCACTTGAGCCACAGGTGCCAAGCCTAATTTTTTAGTAGAGATAGGGTCTTACTCTTGTTCAGGCTGGTCTTGAGCTCCTGACCTCAAGCAATCCATTCATCTTGGTCTCCCATAGTGCTAGGATTATAGGCATGAACCACTGCACCCTACCTGATTGCATAAGATTTCTACAAACCTCTTATAACCCCTTATCTAAGCCCAAGAGTTTGAGGTTGCTGTGAGCTATGACACCATGGAACTCTACTGAGGGCGACTAAGTGAGACTGTCTCAAAAAAGAAAAAAAAATTTGTGTGATCAAAGCTGACTGGGATTGGATGTTTTTATTTAAATTACGTTTCGAATTAATAGTACACTAATGAGAAAGTTTATTCTCTGTTAAAATGACAAACTTCTCTTAAAGTATTGGTCTGAGAATGTGAAGGGTTTTTTTTTCCTTTTGAGTAATTGGCATGGGAAAGAAAGATTTTGTTTTATCAAAAAAATTGCTTATATTTTGTGCTATTATTGGGTTTTTTTTTTTTTTTGAGACAGAGCCTCAAGCTGTCGCCCTGGGTAGAGTGCGGTGGCATCACAGCTCACAGCAACCTCCAACTCCTGGGTTTAAGTGATTCTCCTGCCTCAGCCTCCCAAGTAGCTGGGACTACAGGTGCCTGCCACGATGCCTGGCTATTTTTTGGTTGCAGCCGTCATTGTTGTTTGGCAGGCCTGGGCTGGATTCGAACCCACCAGCTCTGGTGTACGTGGCTGGTGTCTTAGCTGCTTGAGCTACAGGCACCGAGCCTGGTTTTTTTTTGTTTTTGTTTTTTTTTTTTAATGTTCTTTACTCCGTGAGCATATACCAAGGTACTTAAGAGTTTTCTGTCATAAAAAGGAGAGGAAAATTACTAAAGATATTGTGAAAATAATGTACTTCTGTTAACAGAAGTTGTACAATAACTTATAAGTAATAGTTTATGGTAGTATCTACTAACTAAAAATCTACTCATTAAGACATTAAGACTGCTATGGGTTTTTTTTTTTTAGAGTCTCACTATGTTGCCCTCTGTAGAATGCTGTGGCATCACAGCTCACAGCAACCTCACAGTCTTGGGCTTAAGCAATTCTCGTGCCTCAGCCTCCCAAGTCACTGGGACTACAGGTGCCTGCCACAACTCCTGGCTATTTTTTATTTTTTTTGTAGTTGTCATTGTTATTTGGCAGGCCTGAGCTGGGTTCAAACACACCAGCTCCAGTGTATGCGGCTGGCACCCTAGCCACTGAGCTATAGGCACTGAGCCTCATAGGGGTTTTTAATTAAGAAAAGTGGGTTGGATAAAGTTGCTCATGTCTGTAATCTTAGCATTCTGGGAGACTGACACAGGAGGACTGCCTAAGGTCAAGAGTTGAAGACTTACCTGAGCAAGAATGAGACCCCCATCTCTACTAAAAATAGAAAAAATAAGCCGGCACTGTTATGAATGAATGTAGTCCCAGCTACTTGGAAGGGTGAGGCAGGAGGATCACTCCAGCCCACTGGTTTGAGGTTGCAGTGAACTATGATGATACCACATTGCACTCTAGCTATTGCACATCTAGACTGTCTTGGAAAAAAAATGGATTCTTCTCAGCACTAAAAGAACTAAGTTTTTTGTTTACAACTATGTGACCTTCTGTATTTCCCTTTTAGAATCTGTTAATTATCCCTCTGGTCCATTGATTATTACTTCACATTGACCTGTGATCCTATTTTAACCAAGTGTATTAAACCTTTTAACATTTTTGACACACTCCCCAAAATTAAATTCTATTTTTATAGAGTCTCACTCTTGCCCCAGGCTAGAGTACCATGGCATCAGCCTAGCTCATACAAACCTCACCCAAGAAGCTGGGACTCCAGCACCCACCACAACACCTGGCTAATTCTCCTATTTTTTAGTGGAGACAGAGTCTTGCTCTTGTTCAGGCTGGTCTCAAACTCATGAGCTCAAAGGATCTTCCCACTTCTGCCTCCCAGAGTGTTAAGATTACACTCTGTGAGTGAGCCACCACACCCGTCCTAAATTAAGTTTTTTGATCTCAAACTTTTGGGATATTCTAGAGAGCCTCTGGAACATCCAAAAGAGAGATATTAAACCAATTAGGCTTATTTGATATGTTAAATTATATGGGAAACATTGTCAAATAATAAGCGATGCTAAACCTTCTGTAAATTATATTTGTATGCACATTAGTGTGATCCAAAAATCATAATTCCTACGCCAGGTGCAATGGCTCATGCCTGTAATCCCAGCACTTGGGAGACCAAGGCAGGTAGACTGCTTGAGCTCACAGGTTCAAGACCAGCCTGAGCCAGAGACCTGTTTCTGAAAAATTAGCCAGGCTTTGTGGCAGGTACCTGTAGTCCCAGCTACTTGGGAGGCTGAGACAAGGGAATCACTTAAGCCCAGGAGTTTGGGGTTGCTGTGAGCTGTGACGCCACGGCACTCTACCAAGGGTGACAAAGTAAGACTCTGTCTCGGCTCAGCACCTGTGGCTCAAGTGGCTAAGGTGCTGTCCACATACACCAGAGCTGGCAGGTTAGAATCCAGCCCTGGCCTGCCAAATGACAACTGCAACCAAAAAATAGCCAGGCATTGTGGCGGGCGCCTATTGTCCCAGCTACTTGGAGGCTGAGGCAAGAGAATCGCTTAAGCCCAGGAGTTTGAGGCTGCTGTGAGCACTCTACCCAGTGGGACAGCTTGAGGCAAAGACTTGGTCTCAAAAGAAAAAAAAAAGGCTCAGTACCTATAGCTCAGCTGCTAGGGCTCCAGCCACATACACTGGAGCTGGAGGGTTCGAATCCAGCCTGGGCATAGTGAAAGTCTGGAAAAAGAAAAATAACTGATTGGTTAACTTCGGTTTACCTTTTTTTTTTTTTTTTTTTGTAGAGACAAGAGTCTCACTATATCACCCTTGGTAGAGTGCTGTGGCGTCACACAGCTCACAGCAACCTCCAACTCCTGGGCTTAAGCAATTCTCTTGTCTCAGCCTCCTGAGTAGCTGGGACTACATGCGCCTGCCACAACGCCCCGCTATTTTTTGGTTGCAGTTCAGTCGGGGCCAGGTTTGAACCTGCCGCCCTCAGTATATGGGGCCGCCTCCCTACTCACTGAGCCACAGGCACAGCCCAACTTCAGTTTACTTTTTTGTAAGCAGAGAGGCCTTCCTTATTCCTATAGGACTCTGGAAAAACTTTCTTATTCTGCTGACTCTGGAAAAACTGGTCTGTTTGAGGACATAGCTGTTTAACATAAATGACCCCATTTTGGTTTAGTCTGGTCTGCTGGGGCCTAGTGCAGCTCAATCCAGAACTCCAGGCGCCTGCCACAACGCCCGGCTACTTTTTATTGCACTTGTCACTGTTGTGTAGCAGGTCCAGGCCAGGCTTGAACCCACCAGCCTTGGTGTATGTGGCTGGTGCCCTACTCACTGAGCTACGGGCGCTGAGCCTTTATTTTAGTTTGAGACAGAGTTTTCCTCTGTTACATAAGGTGGAGTGCCGGGCTACAAGCATACCTCACTGTAACCTCAAATTCCTGAGCTCACGTGATCCTCCGTCAGCCTCCCAGTAGCTGGGACTACAGGCACTACAGCCATGTGTCACCATGCTCCACTGAATTCTAAATTTTTGTAGAGATGAGGGCTAGCGATGTTTTCCAGGCTGGTCTTCAACTCCTAGCCTCAAACGATCATCCCATTTGGCCTCCCTTAGTGCTGCGATTACTACTAGCGTGAGCCACTCCGCATGATACCTTAAAATTTTTTCCACTTTTTTTCTTTTGGCTTATTTTCACTTTCTTTTACTCAACTATGTTGTCTACAATATGTACCTTGTAGAACAGACGCTGCTTCATTTTACTTCAATTTCCGGAAAGAGGCCTGTCGCCGCCATCTAGCCCTCAGGCAGAGGACGTCCCCTTTCTTTCTTTTTTTTTGGAGCAGAGTCTCACTATGTCGCCCTTGGTAGAGTGCGGTGGCATCACAGCTCACAGCAACCTCAAACTCTTGGGCTTAAGCGATTCTCTTCCCTCAGCCTCCCAAGTAGCTGGGATGACAGGCACTTGCCACAACGCCCGGCTATTTTGTTGTTGTTGTTGCAGTTGTTTAGCTAGCCAGGGCCGGGTTTGAACCCGCCGCCCTCGGTGTATGTGTCTGGCGCAGTAACCACTGTGCTATGGACTCCGAGCCAGGACGTCCCCTTTCCAGACCTTCACAGTACACCTCTTCGCCCCTCGAAAGCGCCTGTGTTCTGCCGTAGCACCTGCATTCCAGAGTGCAGCCCAGACACGCTCCTACCGCTTGGGCACACCGCCGGGTGATGACCCTAGGCCCCACGGACTGAGGCGGGTCTCCAGGGGTCGCCAAGATGAGCGAGCGCAGGGTGGGGCAAGGACTGTGATGCCAGCGTAAAGGCATGGCTTTGTGACATAATTGGAGGGAAGCTGGCCCCCCTCAGCTACACAAATTCCCGCAGATGGAAGCAGAGCCGGCGCGGTGCGTAGATACCGCCGCGTGGGCCAGCACCGGAAGGACAGCAAAACTTGACTTCAATTTCAAGGTCTAGTGGCGGTTTGCCGGTACGCTCTGTGACGTATTTCTGCAGAAGGATGGAGGGGGTGGGGGGTGGGCGGGGTTCTAAAGCACCTCCCTGCGGGGCGCCACGTGACGTCGTTGCCGCGCGGTGAAAGCAGCCGGCGCACGCTGTGACGTATTCCTGTAGACGGAGGCGGAGCCCGCACCGTTCTAAGGTACCGCCCTGAGGGAGGGAGGTGCGGCTGGTATAGCACGTGACGTTAATTTTCCGCGCAGTGAAGGCGCTGGGCGCGCTCTATGACGTCCCCGTGGGCGGTGGCGGCGGCCGCCCCCATGCTGCGGCGCCCTCTGGCCGGGCTGGCTGTTGCCGCCTTAGGCCGGGGTCCTGTGGACGGTGAGTTGGACGCGGCTGTGGTGGAGGATGACTCGGAACGGCTGTGGTAGCAGCCTCCCCTGTGCTCCGTGTGCGTCCCTGTCAAAACCTCCTCGATGCTGTCCTCCGGACGCCAGGGAATCTCTAGTAGGGGTGCATCGGCCCCCAAGGAGTCCCTGAAACAGAAGCCGGAGAACTTCAGGCTTCTGCGGGAGGGCTCCGTCCCGGAACGGGCCTGGATCCCCGGTGCGGCGCACGGTAGAGCCATGTTCAGGGAGGGCAGGGCACTCCCCCCTCACGAGGAGGCTGGCCGGTCTTGCATCCCTATAGTTTCTAGCTCTTGCGGTGTGTAGGACTGAGCAGTGTTCTTCTGAGCTCAGGACTGGCGGGCAGAAAACAACCTGGAAGTCTCCACCCACCTTGCAAATCCGCCGCTTACAGCCGCATACGTGGGGGCTTCCAGGATTGCTGCACCATGGTCCCGCACAGAGTCGGGGATTTGGGAAACAGTAAGTGGTTGGTGCTAGCCTTCCTACACGTGGTGTGGCTTTGGGACTAAAGCCTTCTCTCAAAGCCAGAGAGTCAGCTCGGCGCCTGTGGCTCAAGTGGCTAAGGCGCCAGCCACATGCACCTAAGGTGGCGGGTTCGAATTCAGCCCGGACCCGCCAAACAGCAACCAAAACAGCAACCAAAAAAAAGCCCGGGCGTTGTGGCGGGCGCCTTTGGTCCCAGCTACTTGGGAGGCTGAGGCAGAAGACTCGCTTGAGCCCAGGAGTTGGAGGTTGCTGTGAGCTGTGAAGCCACTGCACTCTACCCAGGGGGATAGCTTGAGGCTCTGTCTCAAAAACAAACAACAACAACAACAAAAAAACCAGAGAGTCCCCCTTGGGGTTTCTGATGCGACCTGTCTGCTATTGCTAAGAATTGTCTTAGAAGGGGTTGGAGTTTGAGGGGAAACAGGGAAGAGGGTGGGCTAGTTCCACGTGTAGATGTGGAGAGGAACAGGTGAAGTGCGCCAGGAGTGGAAGCCAAGTGCGGCTCGCCTGGGAGGGCATTTGGGCGGTACCTCTGCCTGAATCTGGGCTTGTCTAAGTTTTTCTCTCATTGAGACTTTTCAGACTATGACTTGTCACTCAGAAAAGATGGATTTAGGGAGGGATATACTTACTTGGTTTGTGTGGTTTCCTTTTTCAGGTCCTGACAAGCAAAATCCCTTGCTAGGTGAGCCCCTCTCTACCTCTTTATGCCTACCTGCCTGCCTACATGCGCACTAGGCTGCTGTCAAACCAGTGAGTGCTTCACAAACCACTGGTGGAATTTTCCTGGCTTGGCAAAGCATTGGTTTCTGATAGGTAAGACCAGGGGCCAGATCAAAACACAGGAGATCAAATGTAACAAACATGCCAGGAAGTTTATTTTGCTCTATAATACAAGTGGGCTGATCTCTAGAGATGTCAACAGCGTTAGGGAGGGAGGCAGTTCAATATATGGCAGGCTAAAGAGCAACTGGCTTAACAGATAAGTCTTATTAGGGTGCCAAGGACATGCAGCTCATTATTGGGACTCTGGCCAGCTCTTCCTATCAGGGTATCAAAGGCTTGCGGTGTAAGCATATTTTCTATGGGTTTGTAACTGGACAGGTACAAGGAGGTGACAAATCTGTGGTCTGTGATCTGAGTTACAACCGCCTGTAACAGAGTCTTACAGAATGGCTTTTTCAGATCTAAGATGGAGTTAGCTAGGCCAACCTAACAGTTTCTGGCTTGATCACCCAGCAGTTTCCTGGCATAGCAGATTCTGGGAAATGTAAAGAAGAACAGAATAAATTTCAGCCACACCCAAACTCTCTCCCCTTCTGTTTCGATGGTATACCAGAGAAAGGCACTGAGATGATTTGAGGGAGAGCAGGAAGGAAAGGGTGGAAAATAGGTGATCTCATCCCCCAAGGAAGGAAAGAGAGTGAGTGAGGGTGTGCCCAAGAAGGGCTAGATTCTGTTCCTGCCTGTGCTGGACCTAGGTCTCCCCTCTGCATGAGAGGGAGGCCAGCCAATTCTGCAGGGTCCTGGTCACCTTACTTCTCTACCATCCTGCCCTGGATTCCATTCTCTCTCAGGCTCTCTCTGCCCATTGCCCAGGGTTTGCATCAAGGACTCTGTGCAAGAGTCAGCCCATTTGTCTCTCTCCTTGATGGAGAAAGGCTCAGACACAGTTTTACAGGGTCAGGAAGGGCCTTGTGTGTCTGGGGCTTTTGGCCCTTGGCTCTGCTGGGGTCCAGCTTCTGAAGCTGAGGTATGTTCCCTTTCCACCATGGGGAGAGGAAGCGAAAGTGAAAATGCCCTGGCTGTTCCTGGTAGCGTCCTATTTAAAATGAGGCTCCAGAAGGCTAGGTGGGCTCAGGGTGACAAGATGACACCTGAACATGTCCCCACATCCCTTGTAGCCAAGGGCAGGATGCTGCCTGGTGGAGTACCACCAGCTGTCCCTTTGTTGAGCCAATCCCAGCCCAAAGCCCAAGTCATTGTGGCTTGCAGCTTACAGGACGGCTGGAGGGGGCTGACTTCTCTCTGTGTTCTGGGAAGGGTCTCCTGGAGCGGTGGAGAGTGGATGGGGATGGTGACTGTGTTTAGCCTTCAAGACAGGCCAGGTGGGAGAGGGAAGCCAGAAGGAGGATATTCCACTTTTTCTAGGAAAGCAGCTCTCTGGGGCTGCATGGGGAGCTTAGCCCAGGGAGTCTCCAGCAAGGATGGCGACTCCCAGGAGACCATTTATCTCAAATCCTCTGGGAATTCCTTTTGTGGCAGATCTTTCTTACCATTGTCATTGGATTTTGGGCTTCTTGCCAGGCAGATGGGGTTTGGGCATGTGGAATATTACAAGGAGAAGACACAGGATGTGGTTGGCTGTGAGGCTTTCATCTCCCCAGAGGAAGATACCTGGCCTGTGTGTGTTGTCAGGGCAAAAGCCAGGCTTGGCCTTTCCTTCCCACTTGTGGGTCACCAGAACCATGAGGCCTGGGGCCACAGCCCTGTCAGGCATTGGATATGCTCCTGTATAAGGCAGCTTTGCTGACTGCCCTGTCAACTGTGGTCCCTCCCTAGGCAGGCAGCCTGTGCCCTGTTCTGCAGTGGTGGGCATGATTCTACTTCTGTGGGGCCACACCACACTGGCAGAGTCAGCACCCGCTCACTGTGTGCCTGCAGCACCTCCCAGTGGAGCCAGGGCCTGGTGTGATCTGTATCTTCTGCCCTCATGCTCAGGCAGATCTGACCAGAGCATCCAGGCAGGGTGCTTGGTGATTCATGTGCTATGCTGTGATTGGGATGACTGGACCCCCACTGGGTCAGGGCAAGACTGAGCTAGTATACCTCAGGGTTTAGCCCTCCATGGATGGAGGCAAGGGAAGCACTGAGGGAGAGGCTTGGGATCCTGGTCCTTGAGGGGGACTGAGGGTGGCCAAGATGTCTCCATGTGATTTAGGTGCTGAGTGCTAGGTGTCTGCTGTGTGCTGGCTCTGTAGGGGTTCCTCTGATTGAGCCACAGCCCATGGCAAATGGACATACCTGCTGCTTAAGGCTTTAGTGGGTGATTGTAGGGACTGCAGGAGCCTGTTGGAGGCAGGAGGCTGGGCTGGGCACCAGTGGGTGGGTGTGAGGAAGAGCCTCCAAGTCTGTTGCCAGTTTCTGGGTGGCCCCTGTGGGCAGGTGGGATGGGTGGGCATAGCTCTGGCCTGCACCTACCTCCCACCCCCACCTCCTCCCAGGATCCCTTTTGGTCTTGCATCCCTGGGGAGAGTCCCAGGCCCATCGGAATCACCACGGCCCATTTCTGGGGTAGGCACCAGGTCTCACATCCTACAGGACACTGACCATAGCTCCCTGGGCCACCTTGTGGGTTTGGGACTCTGTTGGGGCCGGCTGGGGGGAGGGGACTCTGGGCTGGCCCATGGCCTTACTTTGGGGAACTGGGACCTGAATTTGGAGCTGGGGGCTTTGGCTTCCAACAGGAGCCTGTGACCCAGCAACTGTAGTCTTTGGTCCCTTGATCTCATGGTCCAAAGAGAGAATGGACATGGTTCTGCCTCCCTTTCCCTGAGATCCTCATGGGTCTGTCAGGGTCCCAGGGTCCAGCTCTAGTTTGAATTCTCTTTGAAGACATTGAGGGGATGGAGCAGATGGACAGGGCACAAGGAAGCATTATAGCATTCCTGCTGGACATGGGGATCAAGGACAGCTCCATGGAGGACCTGGGGTAGGGTCCAGCAGGTCCAGGGCCCAGAGACTAAGTGGTCAGAGATGAGGCAGTGCCCTAGAGAGTCTCCTGCATGGACTAGCTCAGAGTTGGTTGTGATGGACATGGCCCCCACGGAGGCCAGAGAGAGAGTTCAAGAATGCTGAGAGCCGGCT